CCCAGCCCCGCCCCGACTCACCGACCCATAGAGGCGGCCCTGGCGGTTCATGGCCACGTAGAAGCCTGTGTGCACAGCCTTGATGACCACGGTGCCCACACGGACTGCACGGATCTCAACAATGCCTAGGGGAGGGCTTGGTCAGGGCAGGGGCCTTGGCTGGACACCCCAGAGGGCTCCCGAGGGCCTGGCAGAGACGGGAAGGAGCCCTAACCCTGGGCAGGGGCAGGGTAGATTCTAAAGGCAGAGGGTGCCCTGACAGCTCGGAGGGTGGGAGAGCTGCGGGGCCCAGGGGGGCACTGGGGAGCCACAGCAGGCCTGGAGGTCCTTTTCAGGCCAGTGTCATGGCCCCTGCATTTGGGCCTAGGTGTGACACCCCCATGGCAGCGGGGGGCCCAGACACCAGGCGGACGCCACCAGGCCTGAAGCCCCGGCTGCAGGTCAGGGCTGCAGGTCCCGGAGGGTACAAGCAGAGGCAGCCTCGAGGTCGGCAATGGCCACATCCCGGCAGTGGCCCCAGGCTCCTTGCTCGGCCTCCCGCAGTCCCCCCAGCAGCTCCCAGCAGCCCCCGTCAGCTCGGCAGCCAGGCCAGCACACGGGGTGCCCACGGCAGCAGCCTGGGCACTGATGCCCCACTTCCCAGAGGGCAAACCGAGGTCTTCAAGGGGCAGGGCCAGCTCCACCCTGCCCCACCCCAGCAGCGTCCCATCCGGCTCCCTGGACGTGGACACGAACTTGCCTGCGGTCTGGGTGCCTCCGTGTGGCCGGCCACTGACACCACACTCGGGGCACGTTCTCACCCCGGGCGGGGCCTTTGCTCCTGCGGTTGCCCCGTGAGGTGTGTGGTCGCCCTGTGCACCACCTCCACGTCACCTCCTGCAGGGAGCCCTCGCCCCCTGCACCCGGGGCGGCTCCTCGGAGGTGACTGCGGTCCTGTCTCCTCATTTCACACCCCCTCTCTTCTGGGAGAGTGGGAGGTGGCTGTCATGGTCACCGTCATGCCACCGCCGTGTCCCCGGGGCCTGGCACAGCGCTTGGGAGGTACCTCATTAACAACCACCTAATTAGCGAAGGACAGGCCCACCAGGCCCGGCCAGTCACACGGCACCCCCATACTGTCCCGATGGAGAGCAGGAGCAGCTGTCTCAGGCCACCCTGCTGGCCATGCCCACACCGAGGGACCAGCCCGGCCAGTCCCTGGCCATCGCCCTTGCTGCGTGCAGCCTAATGAGGGCCTTGGGCACCCAGATGAAAGTGCTGGGAAGGGCAGGGGCGGTTATCTGCCGTAACTGGGACTCAGGCGGCTGCCAGCAATTAGCCCAGCCCCCTCCCCAGCTCCCGGACCTCGCAGCCCTGGGGAAACCGAGGCAGGCCCCTGGGGGCACTGACTGATCCCCCAGCTCTCCACGGCTTGCTCTGGCCTCTGCTCTCACCATGGACGTTCCACAGACACTCTGGGTGCCCGCCATGTGGGCAGGGCATTGTGGGCCCGCCTGGCCACTCCTGGCCCTCTGCTGTTTCCTCCGCAGCTAAATGGGGCGTCTGGCTCTGAGTGCAGAGCCCCAGTTTGCACCCTTCCTGGAGCGTCAGTTTCCCGCCTGTTACAGGGTGCGGGACCCACCCTCGGGAATGTGGCGCAGGCGGCTCTCTGCAGCTGAGCCAGGAGCTGGAAACGTCCCCGTCAGTGTCTGTCCACCCTCCCACCAGGTGCCCCTGAGGAAACGGAGGCCGCAGCTGGACGACGCGGCCAGCCCTCCTCGGGAGCCCAGGTTACTGTTAGTGCTATCCACCTCTGCCCATCACCCTCCCTGCCCTCGCCACTGTCCCCTGACGCGGGCTCACTCACTGTCCTGGCCGTGGCGCCAGTGGGTGCCCTGCACGCGGCCGCTGGGGTCCACACGGAGGAAGAAGTGGGTGGAGGAGAAGAGGCGCCGCCAGCGCACGTCGCCCTCCAGGTGCGGATAGCTGCGCGGCCTCCGCGGCGCGCTCGGGGTCCCCGGTGCCCGGGCCAGCAGCAGCCAGGCCAGGCCCAGCCACCAGCG